TACTTTGACTACAAGAAAATCCACCTTTCTGGTGACATGCATTAATTTCATCCTGATTCTACTCTTGCCCGATTTGCCAATTGCATCTTCTTTACTTAACAGTTGCATCTATTCTTGACTTTAGTAAAATCAGGAAGCTTCGGCTTCTCAAAAACGCTGAAATTAGGGGGAAATATGTTTTGGTGGCTTTGGTTTCACTATTTTTGGATTTGTTTTAGCATTGGAAGTCATTCTCATGCGTACATATTTAATTGGATTTTTTATTAAGTCGTCGGAGAAGCTCCAACAAATTCTATACAGAAAAAGGCATAAGGGCATCCCCAACGGTGACCAAATAGATAGTCTAGAAGGGATTTTATTGGACAGAAGGACAGTGCTAGTAAGTGAACAAGAGTTAGGCTTGCACGCTTTCCAAAAAACTCTCTCACATGACGCTCAGCTCTTTTCCCTTCAATGTCCTTTTTTATTGTTTCTGGAGCTATGTCGCTAGCGATTTGTTTCACGCCGTTGAGGAGGCCCTAAAGAGAGAGCCTAACCTACCGAAATGAGTTTTTGGGCCCAAAGCGGCTGCCACGAGCCCACATCCACCACTCATCCTCAAAGCCATGCTGTCGCTAGGGGTTTCACCCACAACTCTCGCTCTCGCCTTGCCGGCATCTTGTCGTCGCTGCTCTCCCTCTCATTCCAATCCGCCGGTGGGGCCGGGTGCCTACGGTTGGGGGTCGATCCATCGGAGTGGAGGTACCTCTTCCATTTTCTTCTTCCCTCTCAATGTGGGTGTTTGATTTTATCTTGTTGCCACATTGTTTAGTTTAGAACTATGTAGATCCGTGTGTAGCAAGTGCATTTTACCAATGCTTCACACCCCCCCCCAAAACTATATTACTACGCGAATTGTTGCGTGCCGGGATAGGTTCAAGGTCGGGGTGTGAGGGATGGAGATGGAACTCCGGTGAGCTTAGAGGGAGAAATGTCCCTCCGATGGGCGGCGGCGGTAGCGTGCAACTGCCAGAGACAAGCGATAAGGGGGAACGCCACTAGTCGCAAGATAACCTGGCCCTTTGCTCTGCCATTGCTGTTGACGATGTTGTCGCTTGAAGGTGCACCCCTTGGTTGCAATCGTGACAAATAATTCTTATCATTGCATCAATTTTGGTTTGCAATAACAACATTGCCAAATAGATGAACGAATGTCCTAGCACTGATAAATATTATACTGTTACATTCTGAGTTGTGACTAAAACTTTTGGACTATGAAGTTTCTGAGATAATTAGTTGAAGGATGTTGCCCTTGTTGTTGTTTTGTTTTCTATTAATAGGACTCATGGAGAAAATGGAGAATGAATACTGTGCTCGCTTCAGAGAAGTTTCTCCCAGTATGGTGATAGTGGAGTGAGTTGGATGGATTGACTATTTCTATGTTGGATCAGTTTTTAAGTGAAGGTAAAAGCACATTCATACTAACTCAGTCCAAGATCACTGCCTCATCTGAAGAACTGTCGATCCGTTTCTCTAAAGAACTGTCGATCCGTTTCTCTAATGGCATAAAACAGTCTGCTGCTCTCTTGGTTAAACTCGAAGAAAAGAAACTATGCATCTTGGTGACCAAATTTTATCCCATGTGCAAGGCGGTGCATCTTTCTGAAGGTGATACCAATCACACCTATGCTGGTACAATCGCGCCAGCCAACAGATCTTCTGTCTACAACCTACCTGGATTTATCATACAGGGCGTGTGAAGCTGGGTGGCATAGAGATTAGTCTATGGTCGAGGGTAGCAGGGATTATTTCACCTTCACGTGCCAACACGGAGACTGGGGCACGAATAGAGTAAGCAGATTGCTATCTGGTCCGGTGTTCAATCTGAAAGGTCAAGTTTTAGAAGTTGTGCTTGATGATATGGAATATTACCAATGGCTTCAAAGGAAAGATGGCACAATCTTTCATAAGGAATTATATGATCAGATGGGATTCTTTTTCAAGGTTGGAATGACTGTTAGCAGGCTTCAAGCATTGCTGAGGAAACTATAGATGGAGATTGGCAGAGTGGACTAAAGCGGATGGAGCTACAAGGAAAAGGATTACCATAACTTGTTAATTAATGTTCTCATGTTAATGAGATAACAGTGACTATCTAAGTTTGCAATCTGTAAATTGTATATATTATATCAAGTTTTGATTATTCGACGAGACTTTAATTGTACTCTCCCCATCCTGAATTTGTGTTAACTTTTATTGTTTTGTCAATCAACTATTGTCTCACTGCAATTAACATCTATAGTTATTTTCTCGTTTTAAGGTTATTCGTGTTAAGGAGATGAGAAGTCGATGTTGATCGGCTAGAATTAGAGATTGGGCCTTGGGCCGAATGTGCAAGGTGGTTTGTTGCCCTCAGAAATCACTCTGGAGCTCTATCACCGAGGCCGAGTACTTCTAAGAGAAGTTTTTTCTATATTTTATTCATCTCGTTAAGAGTTAATAGTAAGGTTACAGCGAAAAAAACACAGACGGTGTATCAAACTCACTTCATATATGGATCTCAACGGCAGAAAACTAAGGGAAACTTAAACTAGAACTAATGTCTTAGGCTAAGAATGAAAGTTGGAGAGATGGGCTGGTTAGGAGCAGCCATTCTCTTGTTTATAGTGCTACTACACAACTCTTAACATGCCCTTAGATATTTTGCCTGAACCCCTTAACCCCAAGGGCAAAATGGTCCAACTCGAGATCCAAGCATCCGATGGCCACAGGCTCTTTCACGACTTTGCTTTGCCTCGACGCAAGCTTTGCAATGATGCCACGTGCCTCCTCCCGTTCCAACCAAAACTCCAACAGGGTTTTGAAGTCCAAACCCAAAAATCGTCTAGCTCGTGGTTTTGAGGCCCAAACCACTAAACCGCATGGAGAAGCGTATCCGCTACACCTCCTCCATGATCTCGACATGTGTCACCATCGTCCTCGACCGCCCTATCACCAAGTCCTCTTGCGCCTCCGCTTAACTTGCTCAACTCTGTCTACTCCTGCTCACGTGCTTTTGCTTGTTGATGTCCCCCAAGTGTTAGCCACCACGGTCAGTCTTTCAGCCATCTTGGTCCCTTGGTTCAAACCTCACATCCGTCCTTCACCACTCCTAGTCCATCGGAACGACACGTCTCTACTTGACATTCTCCATGTCCGTCGACCATTTTTGTGCTCCACACTTGCACACCAACACAGCCAAGACATGTTGTACACGCACTCACGCAATGGTTAGTTTCCAAACTCAACCAAAACCGATCATCTCTTGTCAATCATTCGACACACAAGGGCACGTATCAACATTGTGTTCACAATTAATAGTAAGGTTAGTTTTACAATATAATATCCTTTTAATATATAGTATTAATAATATGACCATGGGATCAATAGCTGGTTCTTATTATCTATCTGGGAGCCTAGGAGCCGAGCCAAGCTGGGCTGGCAAGATCTAGAGGAATGCTCGAATGCCGCGTTTCCACTCCGCCTGAGTGACTAGAGGTATTTCCTCCCCGGAGTTATTATGCCCAAGGTGAATAAACATCCGTTGCCTCCAACCTACTCGGTTGGGCAATACACAAACATCCAACATATACAGCTAGTAAATTCCTATTGAGTAAAATGCACTAGCGGTCCTCGAATTTGGTGGCGTGTGCCATCTAGGTCCCTGAACTCTTAAAATGCATATCTAGGTTCACAAACTTGGCATATGCGGCACCATAGGTCCAAATGGGCCTTGGCAAGACCTAATCGCCGACGTGGCAGCCCACGCTGGCACCCACCTCGTCCCTGTGCGCTCCACCTTCGCCCGACGGCGTGTCCCCGTCCGCCACCGCGCCTCGTCCGAGTGGACCGCCAACCGTGACTCGTATGTGCACCCGTGCACGCCACGCCAATCATGAGCTGCTCAACGGTGTGGCCGCCGGACACAGCTGGACCCCGGGCAGACGTGGACGGTGGACGTGCCTCAGTGTGCCCACGGGCACGCAGTCCGGCAGGGTGTGGGGCCGCAAGGGGTGCTCCTTCAGCGACGGCAGCGGGAGCTGCCAGACCGGCGACTGCGGCGGCGTGCTCTCCTGCACACTCTCCGGGGAGCTTCCCATATGACGCTGGCCGAGTTCTTCGCCATCGGCACCAGCGGCGGTGCCCAGAAGTTGTACGACATCTCGGTGATCTACGGCGACGACTGGCAAATGGCGATGCTCCTCTCCTGTAGTATCGGCGTGACTCTCAACTGCGGCGGACCCAGCTGCCCCGACGTACGCCTACCTCGGCGGCGCCGTAGATGGCCTCCGTCGGGTACGCGCGCGACGTCACGGCCTCGCAGTGGCAGTCCAGCTTGGGCACGCCGCAGACGACGACGCGCTTGACGATGTGGTCCGACCTCTCAATGGGAAACTCCATGCATGCATCCCTGCTGATCCGCTCAGGGCCTCAGGTGGCCTGCCCGACACTGCCTCCAAGGGCATAGGCTCCAAGTCTGGCAAGAAGAGCAGGCCCACGCCGAGCTGCGTCTACAACCTCGTTCCTCGGCAATACCTCCCCGTGCCCTACACCCACGGCGGCCGGACTCGGACAGGCACGGAGGCACCTAGTCAGTGGCCTCTCGGCGCAGCGACGGGTCTGGGCACGTTCAACGTACGGGTGACACGACGAGGCAGGGCACGACGTTGGCGAGCGGCGCAGTCCACACAGACGAGGCCCGGTTGGCGCGGCGGCGGACAAGGGACACGCCGCGGGGCGAGCGCGGAGCGCGCAGGGACAACGCCGGTGCCAGCGTGAGCTGCCACGTCGGCGATCAGGTCTAGCCAAGGCCCATTTGGACCTATGGTGCAGCATGGGCCAAGTCTGTGGACCTAGATGTGCATTTCAGAAGTTCAGGGACTCATATGACACTAGCTGCCAAGTTCGATGCTCATTCCTATTTAACACCCCCAACTTACACGCACAGAGGACCGACACCTCCACACACACACAACCTAGCCATGAATCCCCAAAGCCCTAAAACCAGTGCTCCTTGCACCTTGCCAGTGGAGCCGGCGGCTGCTGTTGTTCCCAACGAAGCAGTGGCGACTGATGAAGCTCCGCCGCCAGTGGCCAACATGGAACCGGCGATGATAATCCGGGAGCAGGACCGGCTGATGCCCGTGGCCAACGTGTCCCGCATCATGCGCCAAGTGCTGCCTCCCTACGCCAAGATCTCCGACGACGCCAAGGAGGTGATCCAGGAGTGCGTGTCCGAGTTCATCAGCTTCGTCACCGGCGAGGCCAACGAGCGGTGCCACACCGAGCGCCGCAAGACCGTCACCTCCGAGGACATCGTGTGGGCCATGAACCGCCTCGGTTTCGACGACTACGTCGCGCCCGTCGGCACCTTCCTCCAGCGCATGCGCGAGAGCGAGGGCGGCGAAGAGCGCGGCCCTGGGCGTGGCTCGCGCCGCGGGTCGTCCGTGTTCGCGCTCACGCCGCTCAACGGTGCCGGTTGCCGGCATCCGCATCAAGATGTGTCGCCTGCAGGTTACGCCGTCCGGCCCGTTCCCCGCCCGGTTCCAGCCAGTGGGGCGGCGCCGCACTTGGGCAGCCGCTACCAGACGATGCACGGTGGCGACCGCCCCGTGGTTCCCTGCTACGGAGGAGGAGTGGCGTTCGTCCAAGCCGGTGGAAGCCAATACGTTGGATTCCACGCCGATGAGGCAAGCTCTTCGAATGAAAATCCACCGGCGGGGCGTGCTGGCTCGCACTAGCCTAGCTAGTTCCCTCGCGTGTATAATAAGAGGAGAGGCGGCGCCCTTGAGCGTCAGCCAGATGCATGCATGAGATATCTCGTGCTGCAGGCTGGCCACGCGCCGTCTTGCCGGACTCCGTCGCCCGTCGCCGGCGTGGACTAGACATGCTTGTTAGTTCTCCAGTCTGTAGTCACCGTTTTCGTGTTCTCCCATCATTTACCATGTTTCTCGAAACACTTTTGCTAATGGTCAGATGCTTGAGTTCTAGATTCTCTTGAGGCGATATCGTATCCATCCCTCGCTTGATTTTTTTCGTCCATCAAACTGAATCTCAGCTTTACATGCCCATGAACCAACGGTGAAGATCGTAGCCTAAAAACATGCTATATTTCAGGCACTGAAATATAGCAAGTCCCTGCCCGAAATCAATTCCTTCTAGCTATAGTTCATGATTACGTGCGTTTCATCACGACGGGTCAATTGCATGCATACATATGCATGCTCCTGTACTCCTGTGCTGGATTTACTGGAAATTAATTAATCTCTCTCTCTCTGCGCGTCGGTTGGGAAAGTGGCCGTGGCAGCCTTGAATAGGTTTTGGAGCTATGTACGTGCACGGCCGAGGTCGTCTGACAGGCCGGCCGGTGTGACAGCATGCTATGCGCTCCAGAGGAAACTGCCGCGCGCATGACGTCCGTGCAGTAGCGCGCGCGGCTGCCGTGGACCGTACGTGGAATGGCATCGCGTCTCTGTTGCCGTCGGCGGCTTACGAACCGCGGGTACATTTACATGGCCATCGTGTTAGTTTTGTTTCTCCCTCAGCTACGTTACGTAACCGGCTGGCCACTTCGTCATCACTTCCCGCCGGGAGCAGAAGAAACCAAATAATGCAGCAAACGGCTGGTTTCAGTTTCGCGTCTACAAGGCTGTCACTAGCTCTTTGTTGCTATATATGTCCATACGTATTACACTATTATTACTCCAAGTTTAGTGTAGTTAGTTGGTGGGGGAAGAAGTCTCATTATTATACCATCTACCTATGTGCAGCCTGATGTATAGGATAGAGATACGACCAAAATTGTGTGTGAACAAAAGTTTTGGTTCAAGGCCGAGTCAACTACATCTCTACATGAAACATGCTTGCGTACTCTGGCCCAGTGTTCGCCTAAACGTGTTTAAACTGTCGTCTACACATATTTAAACGCAAAAAAGTGGGTCCGCGTTCCGTAGGGGCGTTCCGTTTAATTAGGCCCTAGTCACTGAATTAAATGCTAGACGCGTCTAAATGGTCAAACTGGTCAAAAACCATTTAAACGATGGCATTAAATGGTGCCTAAACGAGTGTAAACATCAAAAATATGCGTTTAAACTATTGTTTATGTGATAAACCATGCAAGTTTGAGTGTTTGGCGAACTTTTTGGGTGGGTGAAATTGGGCTTGCATGTGTGGTGGGGAAATTTGGGTGATATTTAAACGAGATCTATATGACTGTGTGTCACTCTATGTATAATTGTTTTCCTTAAATTGTATTTAAAATTTTGTATAAAAATATCATTTTACATGTATATTTACAGCTACAGTGCAAAACGTTTAAACCGTCTAGTCGGTCATCTAAACCGTCTAAACTCTAAACAGAGGGTGGCTGACCGTTTAACGTTAGCGTTTAGGATAACACTATTCTGGCCGGGCTAATACGTGATGCCATCTTAATTGTTCTTGCTATTTATTCAAATGAAACCTGACGAGAAAAATTATGTAGGAAAGATTATGTAGGAAAGATCCTTGGTGCAGGCTTTGTGCCCCTAAAACATACTTCAACTCAATGTTGTCACAAATTATAGCTTATTCAACATTGCTCGATCGACCACATTAATTTTCTGTTGGGTTTACTCTATTGGTTTAGGTTTGGGATCGGAGCCCCTTTGAATTAGAGAGCAGGTCATATCTTACCAAATTTTGTTGTTGGCTGCATTGGGTTACTTCGATTCAAATTTTTGGCCCACGCCAACACTCAATGGACTGTGCAAAATCTCACCAATAGGAGCACAAAGCCGGGTGCCAAAAAAAACATCATGTTTTGATGACAAATTGTTCAGTGGTGCGCCAAAATTATCACTATTTGCCATAAAAATTTATCACACATGTCAAAGGTTAAGTGCTCAAAATGATACGCCAACACTGACTGGACTGTGCAAAATCTCACCAATAGGATCACAAAGCTGTGGTGGCGAAAAAACCACCTTGTTTTGATGACAAATTGTTCGGTGGTGCATCAAAATTGCCACTATTTACCATAAAAATTTATCACATGTGTCTAAGGTTAAGTGCTCAAAATGATACGCAAACACTCAATGGACTGTGCAAAATCTCACAAATAGGAGCACAAAACTGCGGTGCCGAAAAAACTGCCATGTTTTGATGACAAATTGTTTGGGGTGCATCAAAATTATCACTATTTGCCATAAAAATTTATCATGCGTGTGTCAAAGGTTAAGTGCTCAAAATGATACACCAACACTTACTGGATTGTGCAAAATCTCACCAATAGGAGCACAAAGCTGTGCTAGCGAAAAAACCGCCACGTTTTGATGACAAATTGTTCGGTGGTGCGTCAAAATTGTCACTATTTGCCATAAAAATTTATCACACATGTCAAAGGTTAAGTGCCCAAAATGATACGCCAACACCCAATAGTGGACTGTGCAAAATCTCACCAATAGGGGCACAAAACTGTGGTTGCGAAAAAACCGCCATATTTTTATGACAATTTGTTCGGTGGTGCATCAAAATTGTCACTATTTGCCATAAAAACTTATCACACGTGTCAAAGGTTAAGTGCTCAAAACGATACGCCAACACTCAATGAACTATGCAAAATCTCACAAATAGGAGCACAAAGCTGTGATGGCGAAAAAACCACCATGTTTTGATGACAAATTATTCGGTGGTGCGTCAAAATTGTCACTATTTGCCATAAAAACTTATCACACGTGTCAAAGTTTAAGTGCTCAAAATGATACGCCAACACTCAATGGACTATGCAAAATCTCACCAATAGGAGCACAAAGCTGTGGTGGCAAAAAAACCGCCATGTTTTGATAATAATTTGTTCGGTGGTACATCAAAATTGTCACTATTTGCCATAAAACCTTATCACACGTGTCAAAGGTTAAGTGCTCAAAATGATATGCCAACGCTCAATGGACTGTGCAAAATCTCACCAATAGGAGCACAAAACTCTGATGGCAAAAAAACCGCCATGTTTTAATGATAAATTATTCAGTGGTGCATCAAAATTGTCACTATTTGCCATAAAAACTTATCACACGTGTCAAAGGTTAAGTGCTCAAAATGATACGCCAATACTCAATGGATTGTGCAAAATCACACCAATAGGAGCACAAAGCTATGGTGGCGAAAACACCGCCATGTTTTGATGACAATTTTGTTCGGTGGTGCATCAAAATTATCACTATTTGCCATAAAATGTATCACACGTGTCAAAGGTGAAGTGCTCAAAATGATACTCCAACACTCAATGGACTAGGTAAAATCTCACCAATAGGAGCACAAAGCTGTGGTGGCGAAAAAACCGCCATGTTTTAATGACAATATGTTCGGTGGTGCGTCAAAATTGTCACAATTTGCCATAAAAAATTGTCACATGTGTCACAGGTTTAAGTGCTCAAAATGATAAAATATCAGGCCTCATTTTGGTATAGCGTTCTTATTTATTGGTCGAGTAGCTATTTTTAGTTTCGGCTGTACAAGCAGCTTTACTAGTGAAACTGAAGCTACTTTGGAAAAAAACATTTGGTATAATAGCTTATCTTAGTAGATTTGAGAGAAAGAGCCGGTGGAAGCTACTCATTTTAGCTCCACCTGCTGCTCTTGGCCTGTCTCAACCCGTCTCGCGGGGCTCCAGCCATGGAGCAGCTCACTGTTTACCCCGTTTGGTGAAAGTGAAATTGCATGCAGAATAGCTCCTGGAACTGTTTGAGAATCCATACCAAAAACTTCCTTAGTTACATGCACCAAAATTTTGTCAACTCCTATCACACTTTTTTTAGTCATTGGCATGTGGAGCTTAATCTAATGGATGGAAATCTTGCCACAATTTGTTGTTGTAACCAAAGAACTATCAAAGTGAATAAACATTGCTTTGGTACAATTTCTCCATGAAAATATTTTTACTATAGTACATCCAAATAAAACCGTCGATCTGAATGGCAATTATCACATATTACCTCCGAAGAGGTAATAGAATATATAAGGAAAATATCTTCCTACTAGATCTAATATGCATGCATGATCTAACTTTCCTAACATGATCTCAAGTGTTTAATAAATAATAACATAGACAAGGACACACATGCATAGCGGTGGAACACACACTTCACACATGTGCAGCCATATTTTATTTTATTGTATATAATACAATGATTTATAGTTAGAACTAATACATAGTACGTTCTTTGTAATCCTATTATAATTCTTATTTTAGAATGTTATGCGTATAGATTTAATTTTTATAACGTGACAAACTGATATGTATCATGACATAATGAGAGGTATGGAATAGTTGCACAGATTACTATAACTAATTTAACTTTCGTACCTACCTAATGTAAAATGACACTGGTGTAACATTGTTTTCTAACTAAAAATATAAAATGTGACCCAACATGATTTTGTAAAATTTATATTATTTGTTGGAACGTGACGAATGAACAGGAAATTGGAATTCGTTTCATTTTCAACATGAAAAAAATCAAGCTTATTCAATTCATAGTGTGATTGTATTGTAACATTTTTTTGTTCTAACGTGACCATGCCCAATTAAGAAACATAAAAATAGCATGTCATGGAATGACTGCGAAATTATCTCTTGCCCGATGGCCTTCCATGAAGTGTGTGGCCGTTGGTTGCAACCAAAAGGAAACAAATTGCATGTACACATGCAGATAAAAGGAAACAATTCGTTATTTATTTTTTCTTATTATTATAATTTTATTTCTCCTAATATTCAAGGGCTTGGATTTATTTGAACTCTTACCTCTTACTAGGTAACGAGGGTACCGTAGCAAAGCCCAAAAAAATATAAACATTGGTACAATAATGAAATTGAAGAAGTTCTCTAGCCGTATTAATATACACAGACAAGGCTGCAGCAAGCTCTTTGTTGCTATGTGTCCATACGTACTACTCCAAAGTTTATAGTTAGATGGTGGGGAAGAAGGCTCATTAAAATACCATCAACCTATGTGCAGCCTTATGTGTAGGATAGAGAATACGACCAAAATTGTGAAAGGGGCGAGTGTGCGTGAACAACAAATGTTTTGTTTCGAGGGTCAACGTTAACTACATCTCTACATAAGAAACATGCTTACGTACTTCGACGAGCTGTGTCCGTGATGTCATATTCTTTGCTGACTATTTATTTCAGAGCATGAAACGCGACGACAAAATTTATGTAGGAAAGATTCTCGCTGCAGGCTTCGTGCCCCTGATACCTACTTCAACTCAATATTGCCACAAATTATGGCTTACTCAACATTGCTTGATCGACCACAGTAATTTTCTGATATACACTCCTACAAGCTATAAATTTCAGTTGTTTTATTTTGTTTGGTTTCTTTTTTATTTAGGTGTGGGATCAGAGCCCCATTGAATTGGAGATCAGGTCATCTTACCAAATTTTTTTTTGTCGACAGCATTTAGGGGCTAGTTTTTGGTTCAACATAATTTTGGCTCGCCTACACAAACACTCAATGGACTGTTCAAAATATCACCAATATGATTACAAAGCCGAGCCGCCAATGTTTTGATGACAAGTTGTTTGGCGGGGCGTGCTAGCCTGTCATCCTAACGTTCGGCCTGTTCGCTGGTTGGTTTCTGGGCTGATAAGCCCGACTGGTGCTGGTTTGTTGTGAGAGAAAAACACTGTTGGCTGGCTGATAAGTCTTGGCTGAAACCAACAAATAAATAGGCTGGTTAGTTTCCAACTAAAGCTGTCACCATTTACCATAAAAACTTGTACTTGTTTTCGGCTTTGTTTGGCTGCAGGCATGTGTAAATCTCCCACAGGTAATTTCACCCAAGCGTGGATTGAGGGATCCATGTGACCACCCATTGTCCACGTCCAGGTTGACTACTATGAATTTTAAGTATTATTTGAAAGGTGGATACGTGGCTAGTTTGCTTAGAATAGTATAAGTACATCATGGCATATGTAAGAAGCCAAAATAAATTAGAAATAAATTAAGAAATAAGAAAAATCTCTAAACTTCAAGAAAATAACCAAGAAAGCTTTATAGAAAAAATAAATAAATTAGACAGACCCAAATAGATAGAGAACAAGCACACGTGCATACATGAACACATGACAATATATTATTCCGGCTCCTCATATCTGATAACAAAATGTTTGATAAATAATGAGGACAAGGACTTGTCAACAAAGTAGCACCCTCATGGAAAAAATAAATGCACTTTTTTGGCTTGAAATTATCTCTTATTTCTTCTCTAGGGCATAATTGCGAAATCATCTTCCATAACTTCAAAAAACTAACAAAGAACTTGAATTGATCATCTGCTCTGTAATGACAACAAAATAAAATAAAAACAGAGGACAACATGTACACAGTTAAAAATAATATATCCAAATACATTAGTTGAACTACCATTGCCTTGGCATATGCATAGGTTGTCCAAAGAAGGATGAAAAAAACCCATAGGTGCAGTCAAGTGTGCAGGCAGATTCAAGAAGCCCCATCTCGAATACCGTGATATAAATTAAAAGCTCTGGTCACTAGATCCGCATAATATTTAAGGGCGGCAAAATATTTGTTAACAAAAGATTGTTCATAAATTTCATTATATTGCAAAAAAAAACTATAGAGCAAACATCATGATACCGTGCATCTTCTGAAGAATTGTTGAATGATTCACCCTGAAAGAAAGAAAGAAAGAAAGTAACTGGCTTTTTTGCTCCTGTCAGGTAATTAGCACCAAACAATATTTGATTTGTTTCAGCCACAAAGTTTGGAAAAATATTAATCTCAATTAAAAAAGTAAATATATTGAGAATACTTGAAGTATAACTAGAACCAATTACAATTGCTGAACTTTTTTTGAAAGTAATTCCAATAACTGCACTAGAGTAAGGGCTAGTTTGGATGCCAAAATTTTTGGCAAAACGCTACTGTAGCGTTTTCGTTGTTATTTGGCAATTAGTGTCCAATCATAGTCTAATTAGGCTTAAAAGATTCGTCTCGTGGATTTCGTCTAAACTGTGTAATTACTTTTATTTTTTATTTATATTTAATGCTTCATGCATACGTCCAAAGATTCGATGTGACAGAGAATCTTGAAAAATTTGCATTTTGGGGTGCAACTAAACAGGGCCTAAACCATAACTTTGAAAGTCTGAGAAGAGCATTTGCAGTTACACACACTATCCACTAGAACACACGCAGAGTAACTCAAGGAATACTAGAAAGCATAACTAAAGATAAGTGGGTAACACTGGGATGCAGTAAAAAATATTCATACCTTTTTTTCTGTGAATAATTTTTTAAAACAATATTCTGCCTGATTATGAAGGCTATGGAGTGGCCAGCTAAACCATTTAGAGGCACTGCAAAAAGAAAAAATATGTTCTTTCTGCAAACTATAAAGTAGCACCAGATATAAGAATGCTTCTGATTCCTGAAGCAATAACATGCTTGTGCTCTGTCCTGAAGCAATATACAATAACATGCTTTATTCATGAATTGGTAACATTAAGATTCTGTCTCTTTGTTTAATAGTATTTTTTTCAGAGCAAGGACAACTAACACTTGTGTTCTTCTTATCTTATATGTGCCAAAGTGAAAAAATGGAAAGGGCCGTTAGGAAAGAAAGCAGTTGAAATCCTGATGAATCTCAACTCCAGTTCAACAATCACAAAGAAACCAAAGAGAGGTGGAAACTACATTAGGTTCATTATGACAACTATCCTTATAGTATATAGTACAATTATTTTCATTTTGATAGTATACTTTTACATGGTACAAACTTAGATGGACTTATATTTAGATTAGAGAAGGAAAAATGCTATTATGGGAACGTTCAAAATATACAACATAGAACAATCGAATTTAGGTATGGAAATAATCAAAATATACAACAGAATGATAAATTTTCATTACAATGCTCAAATAATTCAAAAATGTCATATGAAACAACTTTCAAAGAACGAGATCATAAAACAAAATGACAAATTCAAAAAGTAGACCTATCCGTTGCCTCCGGATCCTATAGCCCGGCCATACATTCCCCTGGAGATCGGAGAAGTACAGCCTAGCAGCACCATGGCCGGGCAGACCCACATCCGTCCAGCCCAATAGTACGGTCCCCTCCCGACCGTTGCGTTCAAACGCGCCAATCCGACCGTTGCCTCCTAAAGAACACCCCAAATCCCCTGCGCGTCTTCCCCTTCTGCTAATCTGCCCCCACCCACCAAAGCTCCCACCATGCTCTGTTCCACCTCTGCTCCTCGTGTTCACAAACCCAGCTAGCATTAAACCAGAGCGAGCCCCACAGCTTCTCTCATAACCCCGATCTCCTTTTCTGCCCACCACCACCGATGGCCGCCGCTCTCCTCCGTTTATTGCCGTTCTTGCTGCTAACGCTGACGGCGCCACCCACCGCCGCTGCAGCTGTTTTGGCACCGGCGGCGCCCAAGAACGTCACCCTCGACTCTGCCACGCTGTCCTTCGCGGACCTCACGCTGCTGGGGGACTCCTTCCTCCGCAACGGCTCCGTCGGGCTGACGCAGGAGACCGGCGTGCCTTCCTCCAGCGCCGGCACCGTCCTCTGTACCAAGCCCGTCGCGTTCCGGGGCCACACCGCAACAGCCTCCAATGCCACAGCCGTCGCGTCGTTCGCGGCCAGGTTCTCCTTCGTCATCGCCAACCCCAACGCGGGCGCCGCGGGGGGCGACGGCATCGCGTTCTTCGTCTCCGCCAGCCGCGCCACACTCGGCGCCACCGGCGGCTACCTCGGCCTCTTCAACTCCTCGGACTCCGCCGTAGCCAAGAACGGGTCCGCGTCCACCGCCATCGTCGCCGTCGAGTTCGACACCATGGCAAACCCGGAGTTCGCCGACCCCAGCGACAACCACGTCGGCCTGGACCTCGGCTCGCCGCTGTCCGTCGCCACGGTCGACCTCGCCGCATCCGGGATCGACCTCAAGAGCGGCAACCTCACGACGGCGTGGATCGACTACCGCAGCGCGGACCGCCGCCTGGAGGTGTTCCTGAGCTACGCCGCGAACGCCAAGCCGAAGCGGCCGGTCCTCTCCGTCGCCGTGGACCTCTCGCCGTACCTCAAGGAGGCCATGTACGTCGGCTTCTCGGCGTCCACGGAGGGGAGCACGCAGCAGCACACCATCAAAGAGTGGACCTTCCAGACGTTCGGCTTCCCGCCCACGGCCAACTCCTCCTTTGAATCCAATGCCACCAGCAACTCGTCGGAGCAGGCCGCGCCAGCGTCCAACGCCCCCAACAGCCACAAGAGGGTCGGGCTCGCGCTCGGAATCCTCGGCCCCGTTGCGCTCGCCGTCTCCTTCGTGTTCTTCGCCTGGGTCTCCATCAAGAAGCGCATAGAACTCACCTCCCGGAACGACGCCGCTTTCTCTCCCGAGCTGCTCAAGGGCCCGAGGAAGTTCAGCTACAAGGAGCTGAGCGCCGCCACCAGAGGGTTCCACACGAGCAGAGTCCTCGGCAAGGGCGCGTTCGGGACTGTGTACAAGGCCGCCATGCCAGGCCCTGCCGCCACCACCTACGCCGTTAAGCGGTCGACGAAGGCGCACCAGAGCCGGAGCGAGTTCGTCGCCGAGCTGTCCGTCATCGCCTGCCTCCGGCACAAGAACCTTGTCCAGCTCGAGGGGTGGTGCGACGAGAAAGGCGAGCTGCTGCTGGTGTACGAGTACATGCCCAACGGCAGCCTGGACAAGGCCCTCTACGGCGAGCCCTGCACGTTGTCGTGGCTGCAGAGATACACGGTCGCCGCCGGCATTGCGTCGGTGCTGTCGTACCTCCACCAGGAGTGCGAGCAGCGCGTCATCCACCGGGACATCAAGACCAGCAACATCCTGCTGGACGGCAACCTGAGCCCGCGCCTCGGCGACTTCGGGCTGGCCAGGCTCATGGACCACAACAAGAGCCCCGTGTCCACGCTCACCGCGGGGACCATGGGCTACCTCGCGCCGGAGTACCTTCAGTCCGGCAAGGCCACCGAGCAGACCGACGTGTTCAGCTACGGCGTCGTGCTCCTCGAGGTGTGCTGCGGGAGGCGGCCCATCGACAAGGACGAGTGCGGCCCGGGCGGGGGTGGGGGCAAGAACGTGAACCTGGTGGACTGGGTGTGGCGCCTCCACGGCGAGGACCGGCTCATCGAGGCCGCGGACGCACGGCTGGCCGGCGAGTTCGACAAGGACGAGATGCTGCGGCTGCTGCTCGTGGGGCTGAGCTGCGCCAATCCCAATTGTGAGGAGCGTCCTGCGATGAGGCGGGTGGTGCAGATCCTGAACCGTGAGGCCGAGCCAGCGCCCGTGCCGCGCAAGAAACCACTGTTGGTGTTCAGCTCCAGCGCGTCCATGAAGCTGCAGGAGATCGCCTTCTCCTGCGGCGATGACGTCCGAGGCGGCTACTCTGTTGCCAAGCCTACATCCCCAAAGTCCGAGGGAGCCGACATTGAACGCTGATGCGAAGCAGTTGATACCAATTATACTACTACAGATTTGTTGGTTTGGTCGGTGTGTTCATAAGGGGAATATAGGAAATAATCCCCATAATATAGTTGCTTCAGTCTAGAAAGTGCTGATGAATGCAATTGCACGAGTCATCTACGGTCTAGCGGAGCTGGCATTGACGGCTGATATCAAGCGATCAATGCCCTGATAGTGAATTACTACTTGTGTGATTCCTACATGTATTGGTCTTGTGTTTATGAGGGGAATATAGGTAATAATCCCCGCTGTTGTGTATGAGTGTTAAATACAGAATAATCGAGTCATTTGTTAAGTGTGTTTCTGCAGATTTCAGATTTCAGACATCTTTGTTAAAAATGGCAGGGTCAGCTGTAGGGAAGGGTCAAAATTGACTCTGAATTTGCACGATCCATGTTCGGATTCAGAGATGAATGCCACTGGCAAAGTGCAGTTCTGCAACTGTGAATCTAGTCAGAACATTTCGTTACGAACTTCGGATGCACAACTTCAGACACTAGTGGTTTGTTGTCTCCCCTATTGCCTTTATACTCCTGAACCGTCACAGGATCGGAGACAACAAACCTGATACGCTGATACGCTCGGCTCGCCTTGATAAAAAGGACACACCAGATCCAGGATAAGAGATACTCCTATCTTCTGGTTTGACTCAGTCACCGTCGGTGTTTAATGACTGGCAACTCATCATGGTGTACACGGGACGATGTTTGGTGGGCTTCGACGAACTCAGGAACTCGACGGTAACGCAAGAGACAACGATTTTATACTGGTTCAGGCCCTCGGAATCGAGTAAAAGCCTTTACGTCCAGTCGGCGTGAGCCTTTGCTTTGGATTGTTCTATATGATTGTGTGTGTACAAGGGATACCACCTATGTCTCTTTATACAGGACAGAGGGCAGGACAGTTGTTCTAGTCCTAGTCGGTTATAATTTGAAGAGTCATTATTTTATTACAGAATCTAGCTTTCCTAGTAAGCCGTTGAGGTCGGTCCTTGATGGCTTGAAGTCCACGCCACCTTGCTTCATGTCCTTCGAACAGACCGTGGGCCAGCCATGGGCCCGCTACAGAAGTCGACCCAATAGGGAATAGAGTCCTGCATCAATAAGCCCCAAGCATTTTACGGTTGAACTTGGAAGTCTTCTTGTTCCTCTGGGTCGTGCCGAGTAAAAACAAGTATTGTCCGAGTACTTTCTGTAGAGAAACCGTGGAGTACTCTTGAAAACTCCAGGTGATGTGCATTTTTCGTGAAAAGTGCACTCACTGAGTGTAGCCCCCGAACCTCTCGTTGTTTGGGACAAAGAGTTGGAGGGTCTTTTCTGCAAATTCTTGAAAAAGAATAAAAAAACATCCTCTGAGGATATGTATCCCGCAGCCCCCGAGCCTGTGGCCTAGTACATAAGTAGTCGGCACTAGGATCTGAAAAGAATATACTCAGGGATGGAGAAGTAGGTCCCGTTTGGCTTGCTAAAACTGGCTGAAAAACACTGTACTGGCTGAATTATTGTGAGAGAAAACACTGTTCCCGCTGAAAAAAAGCCTAACAAGCCGACTTCTAGGTAAGCCAAACAGGGCAGTAATTATTGCCAGGCTACTTGTCAAAAAGTAGGTTAGGCAATGTTCAGTGCTTGTGAAGAGTAAATGCAAGCTGACGCGGGAGTAGTATATGCTCCGAATATGTCGCCCGAGTATACTATAGCTTCACGCGCACTGTCATGATGCACTATAAAGGTGTGTGGGATGCACTGTACCCTGTAGTGCAATAAGTAGGCTTGTACTGATCAGCAGGAACTGTCGGCTCCACTCTTCATGAACCCAGTCCATGAACAACATGTTTGGCCTTGTCGACACGGAATTTTGTCCCGTGCCGAGGGCACACGAGTAAGCCGAAATGGTCCGCTCGATAGAGCTGGAGATCCACCTAGCTTCAGTGCAGGGGTAGTCGTTCCTGCGCACTCCTCTCGAGACGTCCCAGTCAATTTGACCCTGCAATTGATAAGGAGAGAAAGTTTATCAGTAATTTAGGGCGGAACGTGCCGGTGTTGCCAGATAGTCCCGAATATGCGGCTCTGAGAGCCGATGTGAAAGGAGATCGACTAAATAGTCGATTCCAGCATATTCATAAGAATAAATCAGTTAAAGCTCATGTAGTTGTGTAAGAAGAATCGGTTATCGTTCAGGATTAATATCATTATTTAGACAAACATTGGTCAATGGCAATAAGATGTCAACAATAATTAGTTTATACTAAGGCAATGACCGTAAGTAACCGAACATCTTTTATATAAAAGAAACAGCTCATCATCATTCAACCATTTAATAAAGATAAATCTAATAAACATATTAGATCTCATCTATCGCTATAACCAGTGGGGCATGAGGCAGAATCATGCAGGTCGTAGAAACAACAATAGACTCGACGACCCTAATTTATTACTAATATCAGTGGGGCATGAGGCAGAATCGTGCATGTCGTAATACAATAATAAGATCATGGGGCTAACACATCTTTCAACCTATCCTTACTTCAACGATCTCGTAATGTGAACTGTTCGTGAAAATACTCGATATCGGCTAAAACAACCGATTTAGGCATAACGCACAGTTAAGGCCATGCCCTCTCAGGAACAGATCTACTAAATAACGATCCCCACTCCACGGTGCTAACAGTGGGGTGTGAGGCAGAATCACACAGACCGTGATAACGGGCCATGGAACAATTTTCGCTAATCAATAGATCTACTCAAGATCAGACATGCCTTAACCGCACGCTATGCACGATCAAGATTGATATAAAACAGTCGATAAAACATAACTCATCGTTTAAAGTACAGATTAGATCAGTTTAGATTAACAAACGATGGGTTAAACAAGATATAAGGTCGATCTAGATCAATCCCAATCGGACGAAGTGATATTGTTGTAATTAAATAAATAATGAAAGCAATAAGCAATATCAGTAACTTAATGAATCTATCCGAAGGAACGCCACCCTTAGATAGAGCCGATAACTTGACCTTAATCTAGTTCGAGCAATGGAGGTCGACCGGATCAATGCAGTCGTACTTGAACTAAACAAGAGTCGATAACTAACTCATACCAGAGTCGTAGTGGAGGTCGACCGGATCGATGCAGCCATGCGAACAGAGGTATAAGCCATGACGGTACTTACAGACAAGCAGTGGAGGTCGACCAGATCGATGCAGCCGTACTTGCTGAAGAACTCGCCGAGATCTACTCTAATCCTACTCCTAAGGGGTGGCCGGAGCCGAAAAAGTAAATAACTTGTATTTGATTGATTGTGTGTCTTTTACAATAGCCGGCTCTATACCCGGAGCCTAAGCACGAATCCTACTCAAGTACGATTTGGTACAATATTTGGTATGAAGAAATATTCCTATCTTAAGATAACTTGAACCCTAATCTTTCCCCTTTTGTAGAGTCCGATATGTATCTTCCTGACGCCAGTCGCGGCTCATTATCGTTATTTGCTGACGTCATTTAGAGAGAGCCGATTCTAGTGTCGCACCCGAACCGGCTGATATCGATCCTCATGCAACCGATTCCTTGATTGGCACAAACTTGGAAGTCTACGAGTTCCCACGTTCTTCTCCCAAATTTTGGTGTAAACACATGCCCCCCAATTTTGGGATAAAATGGTTTTATTCCGAAATTCTAGCTTATTGGTTTACCACGCCGCAACCGTTCTATCCGAGATGTACACATAACTCCTGACTCCCCGACCCAAGTCTTATACAACAACCCAATAGTATCTCTTCCGACTCACTCGACCTTTTTGCTTTCTCCTACTTTCGCGAGCCAACTTCAACAGCTGAGGCCGTCACCGCCAAGGCTTCAAACCCTAGCAAATCCTCCGTTCGATCGAGCTGTCATCCAAGTGATCTTTGTCAGATTCAAACCTATTTCGGCTACAATGGCAACCATTGACAACGTCCCTGAGGTATGCCTCTAAATCTCCACTCTCCAAGCATCGGCCGCTGCTCCGTATTTCTTTCCTTCTCAAATTTATTTCGTCCGATTTCTAGGAAATGAGGAACGAAATCTTGATTCCATCAGTTGCTACTCCCAATGTCTATTTTCTTGGGCCTATGGGTGATCCTGATCCATCTGATTTCGTCTGTCAAGAAACCAACCAAATCCCCTTCAAACAGTCTGCAGTGATTTGCTGACATCATTTAGAGAGAGCCGATTCTAGTGTCGCACCCGAACCGGCTGATATCGATCCTCATGCAACTGATTCCTTGATTGGCACAAACTTGGAAGTCTACGAGTTTCCGTGTTCTTCTCCCAAATTTTGGTGTAAACAAGCCTATAAAAACCCTCCTAGAGAGCTCTTGCATATCAGCTGAGGAATAGAAAAGCAACTCTGAGTCTGTAGCCAAGAAATATGGTGGTATGTGAAGTAGAACAGCCCCCAGGTGTTGTTGATAGAAGTAGACGACCATGTTGCAGTTAGAAGAAGTCTTGTGATAGAGACTAGAAGTAGGCTAGTCTCATAGTGGTGCAAAACAGAATGGTCTGTGGAGGCAGGTAGAAGAAGCCTTGTGATGAGAGACATGTTCCTTCATCCAGCAGTCCCATGTCAGTTCTTTGAGCGTGCCTGTTAACGTCTGTCCATTGACGATCAGCTGCTGGTTTGAGTGGCGGTGGTGTAGTCAGCTTGGGTAGACAAATGCTGGAAGAAGCATTGTTGCTGCCCAAACCCGGTAGACCAGGAAGTTTTGTACCACCGAAACCAATGTTGGATGCACTGTGTTGTCACAATGAAAATTGTGGCACTTGAGTCGGATGTGTCCTGCCGAGTAGTAACTAGGAGCTTTGGTTTAGAAAATGGTTACTGAGACCGATTAGTCAAAATCTTGTAACTGTTCAACCCTATATACGTTAAGCTGTTGTTGAATAAAAAATCTTCGTCCGAGTACTGTGTTGCTGAACTCATACTGCCGAGCAATTGTACG